AGTGAGTTAGGAAACAATAGTGAAACCATAAAGCACTCTTCCAGAAATGATACGCCCAGGGATGCTATGAAGGGGACCAGAGCTTTTGGAAAGCAGAATCTAAACTGAAAAATCATCACCCAGTATATGTGCTATTTCTTCCAAAGGGTCCCACTGGGCCAGAGGGGAGGCTGGCCCCCTGGACCAGTTGGTCAGTGTAGAGCCCTGCTAGGAGGACTTCAAGACCCTTGCTATGGGTTTTCTGGGAAGTGTTGTGACTTGGCACAAAGCTTCCGTCTCCCCAGGAAGGCTCAGGTGACACTAGTGCCTCAGCAAAATCTGTAATCATGGCTTTGGCAGCTGGAGACACAGTGCTGAGGGGACTGCGGCTGGGGAGTCTTTGGGTGCGCGGGAGGGAGAGTCCCAGAAAGGATGCCATCCTGGCTGAAGGAAAGGTTATTTAAGGTTTCGGAGGCTGGACAGGAAAGAAGAGGGAGGAGAGAAGAGTCTGGGAGCAGCAACTACCAGTGCCCAGCAGCTGAGAGGGAGCAGGTCAGCCAGAGAGGCCCTGCAGTGCGAGAAGGTGGGTGCCAGGCATCTGCTGTAGCAGCTGTGGCATTGCCCATGCTGCCAAGGGCTCGGAGAGTTTGGCTTTTCCCACTGACCCATGAGGAGGGAATGATCCTCACGTCACGTTTTCATTGATAATCAGGAGCCTGATGGCAGAGGCCTGGTGACATGGTGTTGTTCCAGAGGTCCCTGAAATCTTTGTTTTCCTGTTGGGAGGAACCTTTACAGAGTACAAAAGGGATTGGAGACTTTTACTAAGGTTATATAGGGAGATGTCGGAGCGCTTTCAGACTGGTCTAGGGAACAGAGGTCCTGGAACCTCAGCCCAGCCCATAGCTGACTCTGCCCATATTTGTCTTCTGACCCAGCAGCCAAATCCCAGATGGAAGTGGGGCAGGCTTTGGGAGTGGCACACAGGGAGTACTGAGGCCTACACCTCGCCTGGAGGATGGCAGGTAAGATCCTAGGGCTTGTAGAGGAGAAAGATGTGGGCCTGAGACACTGGAGAGAGGTTAGGACTATAAGATGGAGGACAATGATAAAGGGACCTGTGATGGCTCCATCACAAAGTGCCCCAATTCCTAATATTACCTTCACCCCAGGAGGAGGAAAATGGTCACAAATTTGACTGCAACATTAACAACACTAGTTAGTATTTGAATTTCATTTTCTTTTTCATTCAACAAATACTTATTAAGCATCTGATATATGCCAGACACTATTTTAGGTGGCGGGAAAATAATGATTAACAAGACGGGCAAAACCAAATAAGTAGATAAAATAATTTCAAATTTTAATGAGTGATATAAAAGAAACAAGAAAGGGCCTAAAATGACTAGATAAGGTGGTCAACAAAGGCTTCTTCGAGAAGATAGCATTTAAGCAGGAATTAGCTGCAAATATTGTGAAACCTCAGTAACATTTCTATTTATTCTGTAATGGGTAAATAAAGCACTTTTCCTCTAAGGTGGAAACTACCAACAAAGACTAATTATTAGTGGTGCCCTCTGGAAGAGGAACACCTCCTCTTCCAGGCCTATTACTGTCAGACCTTCCCTCCCAGATTTATGCAAAGCATTTCCCCCAGTGGGGGTGAGGGTGTAGGTGGAGCTCAGCCATTTGGCAATGGTGAGATATTGTTGACCCAAAATCACTAGCCCAAGGGCAAAGCTAAAGAGACGTTGGGATGTCCCAGAAAGACCCTGGCCGGAGCTTGGAAAAAGCTGTTCTCAGAGTATTTCTCAGTAGTATGTTGTTACTAAGTGTATGTAAGTATCGGTGTCTCTAGCTGTAACTTTTCTACAGCAGGGCTTGGTACTTTGTACACAAAAATGTTAGTTCCAACAAAAAGACCACTCAATCCAATAGTTGCCAAAGGATTTTAGTAGAAATTTCAGCAAAAAAGATACCCAGGTGGCCAATAAGCACATGAAACGATGCTTAAGACCATTAGTCATTCCAGACCTAACCAAACCAGTTACCTTTGAGAAATTCAGACTGGTGGCGTATGTCAAAGTAGAACTGTGCTCCATAGGGCTTCCAAGGACGGGTTTTTGGGAAGGAGATCAGCAGGCCTTTCTTGTGAGGCTTCTCTGGGCGGACTTGAACCTCCAGCCTTCCTAGGAGCTGCCCAGCATGTAACCCCTTTGCCTTGCCCAGGGTTCCCATCAGTCATCAGGGAAATGCAGACAGAAACCACAGTGAGGTCCCACTTCACCCCCACTACGATGGCTATGATCAGAAAACAACGAGTGTTGGTGGAGATGTGGAGAAATCGAGACCTTCATCCATTCTGCTGAGATTGTCAAATGATGTGACCACTGTGGAAAACATCTCACGGTGTCTCAAAAAGTTAAACATAGAATTACCATATGATTCAGCAATTTCACTCCTACATATATACCCAAACTCAAAAAACTCATTGCCGTCTAGTTGATTCAACTCATAGTGACCCCTCCTTGGGTTTTCGAGGCGGTATCTCTACAGAAGTGGATTGCCCAATCTTCCTTCCAAGGAGTGGCTGGTGCTTAGCAGTCAAATGCCTTAGGCACTAGGTCACCAGAGCTCCCTATGTACCCAAAAGACTTGAAAACAAGGACACAAAAAGATGCTTGTACATTTATTTTCATTATAGCACTATCCACAATAGCTAAAAGCTGGAAACAACCCAAGTGTCCATCAACAACAGATTAATGGATAAACAAAAGATGGTACATACATACAATGGAATATTATGCATTGCTAAAGAATAATGTAGAATCTGCAAAACACCACACAGCATGGATGAACCTTGAAAGCATGTTGTTGTTGTTAGGTGCTGTTGAGTCGGCTGCAACTCATAGCAACCCTGTGTACAACAGAATAAATACTGCCTGGTCCTGTGCCAGCCTCACAATTCTTGCTGTACCTGAGCCCATCGTTGCAGCCACCATGTCAATGCATCTCGTTGAGGGCCTTCCCCTTTTTTGTTGACCCTCCACTTTACCAAGCATGGTATCCTTCTCCAGGGAATGATCTCTTCTGACAACATGACCAAAGTAGCTGAAACAAAGCCTGGCCATTCTCACTTCCAAAGAGTATTCCAACATGCTGAGTGAAATATCAGACACAAAAGGACAAATATTTTATGATCCCACTTATATGAAATACCTAGAATAAACAAACGTGTGGAAACCCCAGTTTATTAGAGGTTCCTAGGGGTGTGTGGGAAGGGGAAAGGGGGAGTTATTGTTTAAAGGGCTCTGAGTTTCTGTTAAGGATGATGAAAAACTTTGGAAAGAGTGTGGTGATTGCACAACATGGTGGATGTAATGTCTCTGAATTGGACCCGTAAAAAATGTTGACATGGCGATTTTTTTTTAACCACTTATTGTGATTAGGAGCTCTGGTGGCATAGTGCCTAAGGCATTTGACTGCTAACCAGAAGGCCATCAGTTCAAACCCACCAACCACTCCTCAGAAGAAAGATTGGGCAATCTACTTCCGTAGTGATATCACCTCGGAAACCTAAGAAGGAGTCACTTGAGTCAGATCTGATTCGATGGCAGTGAGTTGTTAGAGTTTTATTGTGATTGGGGTGAAATTTTACAGGGATATTTTCCATTCAATAGCTCATACACATTTTGTTTTGTGACACTGATTACAATCCCCGCAGTATGACAGCTCTCTTCCCACTTCCTCCATGTGTCCTTCTTTCCTTTGCATTCCTGCCCTCTGAGCTAGCTCTCTGTGTAAAATGTTGCCCTTTTGATCTCCCATGGTTAATTGTTCTAAGCAGTGCACCTACCTCCCTAGTGTAATTGTTCAGCTTGTATGCCTGTCTATTGTTTGGCTGAGACTTAAGCCATGGGAGTGAGTTCAATTCCAGGCCAAACATAGTCTCCCAGGTTTCAACAGTCTCTATCCGACCAGTAATCCTGGTCTTTTTTATGTTCTTTGAATTTTTTCTCCCCATTTTTCTCCCATTCTATCCAGGATCTCCTATTTTGATCCCTTTCTAAGTGACATTTATAGCCAGGTACCATCTATTTCTTCTGGTCTCAGAGTTGTGTAGGCTGAGATTCTCCTGGCCCACTAGTCCTGTGGACTAATTGTTTCCATGGGTCTTTGATTTTCTTTACTCTTCTTTGCTCTGAACAAGGAGAGACCAATAATTGCATCTTCAGTGGCTCCTTACTAGCTTTTAAGACCCTAGTTGCTACTTACCAAAGGAGGATGTAGAACAATGTTTTTGGGGACTATGTTATGCCAATTGAGCTTGATGTCCCCGGTGACCATGGTCCCGAGCCTGTAGGCCTAGTGACTCACTCCCTCAAAGTGCTTGGTTGTGGCCAAGAAGTTATCTTAACTTTTTCACCTGTTGGCTCTATAATATATATGAACATATTTATAGCACATACAAATATGTATGTAGGAATATATTCTTCTAAACCTATATATGGTCATGGGTATATTCCCATTCACCTACCCATATGGCAAATGTTTTATTATATATAGTTTTCCCACAATTATATCTATATAAAAGATTAACAGTAGAAATAAAATGTTTTTTTCTTTTTTTAAAAAATGCTAGTTCCTTCCTCTTCTCCTTTCCTACAGTGTAAAGGTAAATAAAACCATAGAATGGTAGTCTTCAATTTACCCCCTTCCCAGTCTTTATGGGAACCCCAACGCATGATAGGAATTGCAGCTGGGTATCAACATTATGGGCTCCTGCCCGAAAATTACAGAAGGGGGATGAGGGGCCAATGCCGGGAAGAGGGATTCCTGGACTCAGACTTCTGTCCAGACTCTGACCTTATTTGCAATGATGTAATCAGCCAATATTGGCATAGTCCTGGGAGGAGCTTATTCCCACTAGGGTTGGGTATGGGGTGGGGGTGCTGCTGCCGTCACTATATAGGGAATTCAACCGGGAGTCTAGAGCTGTCTTGTGGCCTCTCCAGCTCAGCATGGCTTGGGCACCAGGAGCACTTGTGCTGGGGTTTTTGGGCCTGTGCTGGTCTTTGGCCATCGCCCACCCTCTTCCTTCGTGAGTAAAGCTGGGACTAGGGCTGGAGGACTGGGGACTGGACTAAGGTGGGATAGGTCAGTGTTTTAAGTCTGGGGTAAATTGAGGGTAGGAGTCCCTGGATGGTGCAAATGGTTAATGCATTTGGCTACTAACTGAAAAGTTGGAGGTTCAAGTCCACTTCGAGGAACCTGGGAAGAAAGCCTGATGATCTACTTCTGAAAAATCAGTCACTGAAGACCCTAGCAAACCCAGTTCTTTTTTCCGACACATAGGGGGTTGCCATGAGTTGGAATCTACTTGATGGCAACTGATCTATTTTAGGTTTGGAGTCAAGAGCTAAGGGAGAGTGGTTGGTCCTAGTGGACCCAGACGTCTGTCTGCTTTCTTTCTAGGACTAGTGCCCCAGGGAATGAAGCTGAAGGTGGGAATGGAACCAAACCAGACCCAGACGTCCTTGGTGAGGCCCAAACTCCCTGAGTCTGTCTATCTTTCTGGCTGGGTCTCTGCCTTTTATCATCTAACTTGTCTTTTACTTTGCCATACTCTGCCCCCACCCTCAGAACGATGCTCAGATGGCTGGGGCTTTGATGCTGCCACCCTGGATGACAGTGGGGCCATGATATTTTTTAAAGGTAGGAGGGGCTGCACTGGGGTATTTGGAGGCCTTGGATTGGTCCCCTTCCCAGAGGGGTTCTCCATCTGTGTGCAGTCATAGGAATTATCTAAGGATATCATTCACAGCTTCTCTGTAGGCCAAAGATTTGTTCTGTGTTCCTGAGTGAATGTGGGTTTTTCAGGGGAGTTTGTGTGGAAGAGTTCCAGATGGGCCCGAGAGTCTATCTCAGAGCAATGGAAGAATTTCACTGGCCCCGTGGATGCTGCATTTCGCCGTGGTCATGACAGCGTCTTCCTGATCAAGGTACTGCTGGTCCAAAGTCAAGGTCGAGCCAGGAAGGGCTGGAATCTACACTAGAGGCCTTTCCCCAAGTGGTCCTGGCATGCAGCCCATGCCAAATAAGTACCAGATTTCCTCCATCTGTGCTTTCCTCTCCTTTCCCATAGATGGTCAGGTCAAGGGAGTATGTGCCTGTAGGCAGGGCAGGTACCACACATTCAGAGGCTATTCTTCATTCCTAATCTTAGTTCTTGATGTCTTTGCTACACCTCATGCTGTTGGCCACTCTTTCCTTCTTGACAATCTCTTTCTTTGGTTTCATGCCACTATATTCAGGTTCTGCTCACGTGACTGGGCAGGCTGTTTCCAGCACAATGGCACCTGGCCAAGGGACGTGTAGAGGATGAAGTCCAACTTGCTCTGCTCACCAAGCCACAGCGTTAGCCCAGCTCTCAGAGGAAGGGGCACTTGTACAAGAGTGCTGTGTGTTTGAGGTGTCTCTATGAACTTTGTTTTCCCTCTTGTCTCTTTCCCTGTTCTTCTCAGACTTCCCATCCTCTGTCAGTCCCCGAATATTTCTCAGGGATCTGTCCTAGCCCCTTGACACCCCCATTGGGTGATCTTAATCATTGCCATGGCTTTGAGGACTCTTTGTTATCGACACCAGTCTGGATGTCTCTCCTGAGCTCCAGACATCTCTTTCCAATTTCCTAGCAGACATCTCCAACTAAGATGTTCCAAAAAAAAGCCAAACCAAACCCATGACCATCACGGCAACCCAACGTGTTACAGACTGAAACTGCTCCACAAGTTTCCTTGACTGTGATTTTTATAGAAGCAGATTACCAGGCCTTTCTTCTGCAGCACCAGAAAGAAAAGTTCCAATCATCAACTTTTAGGTTAACTAGTTGAGTGCAAGTAGTTTTCACCACCCAGGGATCCTTTAGATGTTCCACAGGACCCCAAACTTAGCATCTCCAAAACTGAGTTTAGTGTCTTCCTCATAAACCAACCCTTCCTCCATGGTTTACTCTTTCAGTAAATAACACCACAAGAAGCCTGGTTGTTCCAAGCCAGATAACATGAGGTCTCATGATTTGGCCCTTGGCTATCTTTCCAGGTTTATCTCCTTCCCTGCCAGATTCACTGTGTGCCAGCTACGGGAGACAACATAAGCTCTCTGAGCACACTTTGCTTCCTTATGTCTGTTGTGTTGTTGTTATGTGCCCTCGAGTCGGCCCCAACTCATAGCGACCCCTCCTTGGGTTTCCAAGGCAGTATCACTATGGAAGTAGATTGCCCAACCTTCCTT